TTATTGCAACTACTCGGGCCATCAGTAAACGGAAAGGAACTATAAAATGAAAGAAATACTAATCAAAAATGGATAATGGTTGATAATGCTTTATTGTCTTTAAATTTCTGTTTGATTTTGATCTTTGGTCAGATTACAGAAAATAGCTAGTGATATATTTTTATCTTCTTTACTGCATTCAGTCATCTTTCTTTTGCACTCTTCTTATTTGTTTAAAAAAGTATTTTGAAAACATCATTTCATTGAAATGCTTACTAAAGAGTTTTTGCAAAATGTTTATGGTTTGGTTCCCACTCTAGAAAGAAAACCCATACACATTATTTCCGAAGACGATAAAATTTAATAAAAAAACAAATTCATTATTTTTTACTTTTTATCAATTTTTGCAGTATTTAATTTAGGTGCTTTTTGGAACATTTTAAGTTGTTGATTGTGTGACATTGTACCGAGGAATTAATTTTTTCTGACTATTATCTTCATCTTTGTTGCTTTTATCTCATTATGGCTGATTTTGTTTTCCAGTCTTTGTCAAGGGTATAATGCATTTGGTGGTCCTTAAGAAATGCTTAGAACTATTTTTTTTTTTTTTTTAATCTCAGCACAAGTTTGGTTGTTACCTGAAGAGATGGATTTAAAAGACCTTTTTATTTGTCTTTGTGAATGATGCTATGTTTAGATTGAAAAAGAACAGCAAATATAGAGAAGAAACATGTCTGCAGCAGCTTCTGAAGACCACTGTGTGTAATATACTCATGACAAATGTTAAAGAATCTAAAAGCCAAAATTTTGTTTTAAGAGCAATGAAGACAATAGATAATGGTTTGTAAGCTAATTGAGATGCTGTCAGCTCAGAATTTGAGAAAACTGTATTCCATTTTAAAAATGGAATCTTTCTTTCTCTTCAGTATTTTTTAAATAATTTAATTTGAGATGGGTTCAGTAATTTTAAAAAGAAATTTCACAAAATTCCAATGCAGGATTTGAAAGTTTATAGTTTTCTATAAAATTTGCATTGTTTTCAATTTGTGTCTTGTGTGAGCACTATTATTAACCCCCCCCCACACACACCGTGATTCATAAGAATTTCTGTTTGAGAGAAAATATTATATTTATTTATTTTTTTTTATTTATAGGACTTTGGTAAAAAAAACTTGAAAAACACATTCATGTCTGAATCTATCGACAATGTTTTTGTTTTTATTTATTTTTTTCTTAGAAGTTTTATTCTTGAGACTGTTCAATTGAAAGTGAATTTTCTTGTGAATTTGTAATCATTTTTTTTTTGTTGTTGTTTAAAGAAAGAAAGAAAACCAAATAAGTTTTTAGTTTATGAAAGATTTTTATACACCCACCTTTTGAAAAAAAAAAAAAACAAAAACAACTTTTTTTTGTAAAGAAATCAAATATGGAGCTTCCCATATTTTTGTGAAAATGATTTATAACTCTTGTTGCCAACAACCAATCAAGAATATTATTAATCTTAATATTGTAATTTTTCAACTTATCCAATAGGGTTAAAGTTTGAAACATTTCATGATAATATTTTTTCCGTCTATCTTTGTTTATTTCTATAAATAAATGAGAAACAAATGAATATTGTAAAGCAAATCGGCCATGAGTTAGTCAGAATTTATTTTATTTTTTGGCTAAAAACAAAATGGCTACCATCTTTAAAGGTGCCTCCAAAGAAATGCAATAATTCCTCTTCACCCAACTCACTGCCCAATCCCTGAGTTTTGTGCAACTGAATTTTTGTTGTCTTTTGTACATTGTCACTTTGACTAGTTGGTCTATTTTAGGTGATAATGTTTTAACTATTATGTCACTTAGTTGTGTCTAATCGGAATAGTCATATTTAGTTTTTATAAATTAAAATGTCTTTGTTGTGTAATTGAATATACTGTAAAAATTTGTTTCTCCTCCTTCTTTCTCTTCTACCCACTCTTCCTTCTCTTCTTCTACTTCTTTCTCTTTTACCCTCTCTACCTTTTCCTTCTCCTCCCCTCCTTTCTCTACTTCTCCCCCTCTTTTTATCCTCCTCACTCTTCCTCCTTTTGCTTCTACTACTCTTCCTCTTACTTTCTTTCCTGCCCGCTCTTCCTCTTACTTCTCCTACTTCTTACTCTCCTACCCTCTCTACCTCTTCCTTCTCCTCCCCTCCTTTCTCTCCTCCTCACTCTTTTTTACTTCTCCCCCTCTTTTTCTCCTCCCCACTCTTCTCCTCCTTTCACTTCTACCCACTCTTCTCCTCCTTTCACTTCTACCCACTCTTCCTTCTTCTTTCTTCTTTCTCTCCCCACTCTTCCTTCTTCTCCTCCTTTCTCTCCTACACACTCTTCCTTCCGTTCCTTTTTTTCTTACTCTTATTTCTCCTACTTGTCTTTCTCTCTCACCCACTCTTCCTCCTCCCACTCCCTTTTCTCCAAACCAATCTTCCTTTTACTTCACCTCCTCTTTCTCTCCTACCTACTCTTCTTACTCCTTCTCCCACCTCCTCCCTCCTCTCTAATATTTGTCTAAATGTTAAAATAACAACATTCCACTGAAATGAAGACATGAGTTACAATTTTTGTAATTAAAAAAATATAAATAAAACCAAATCAATTGAAATGTCTATATTGCCAAACTTTGTTTTCTTTCTTCTTCAATTTGTTTTAGCCAATTGTCATTGGCGCCATCTTTCACATTCCAAACGTTGTTCCCTGTGTTGTTTTGTAGTTCAGCCAAGCATTAAGAAGAGTAAGATTTCCTGGAAATTATTCTTGTTATCTTTTTAATTTTTCATTCAACATTTTAGTTTTTAGCTAATAAAACAATTTTGTTTATTCCTTTTGTTCACTTGAGTTTTTTACCTAAAAATAATGTAAAAAATTATTTTTTTCACTTATTCAATGACAGTATTGTTATTTTTAATTTGAATTCTATAAGTAAAACACCTTTGTGATCTTAAGCAACATGAAGTAAATAATAAAAACAAATAAAAGTTGTTTCTAATCAGATTTGAACTCATGTTAGGAATCCAGGATATTTCATTGAAACTATTCACTTGACAGTGTACAAATCTACAATCCTGAGTATAGAACTTGGAACACTCAGGATTTTCCCATGGTACCATTGCCTAGTGGATTTGATATGTGAATTTGATGACATAGTAATTGTTGGTTCAATGATTTAAAATTCTATTCTGGATAATGGATGCTTGCAATTTTGGTTTAAAAATTAAATAAAATAACTAGTTATGTATCAATATTTAACCAACATCAGAAAGTATATGTGCTTAGGGTTTAACAGTTAAAATCATGGAGAACTTCGCATTAATAGCTTTGGGAAAGGCATCACTGCAACTCTAAAAGCAGGATAGTTGGAGCTCTATAAAGAAAATCCACGTAACCACCTGAGTACCACCTGACACTCTTGTAAATAAGTGACCATCTTCGTTAACATGAATCAAGATATCAAAGCTGAATTAATTCTCATGGATTATTTATAATGAATAAATTTAATTTTTAAAAATGCCAAAATGATTAAATGATTTTTCAGTTGTTTTGAAGATGTTTGTACAGAGTAATTGATTTGTCTTTTTTTATGGTTTATTAACCTTTTCTGGTGCATTTAAAGCTGAAACATTTTGGATGGTACGAACAATTTTTTTTATTTTTGTGAGTGAATATTGCATTAACATTTTTTTTTTTTTTGAGAAAACTGCTTTTTCCAGATACAAGTCTTACTATTTAATCCATGGCTGGGGGGGTAATGTATTTATATTTTACTTCCGGGTATTTGTGCGTAATGGAATGCAACAGACCCACCTTTAATCTTATACAGAACAAAAATATATATAACAAAATTAAAATTTTAAACATCTAACTGGTTTTCACAAATTCCATTTTACATACTTTGATATTTTCTACCAGTTATTTTATTGTCATATTTAGGGTCCTAAATGTTTGGCCGCCTTTTGAACAAGAAGTGCCATCCTTCATCTCTTCTATGTTTGCTCATCTAAAAACAACACCTCATCCTTCAAAATAGGTGACAAATCTGTCATTTTAAAAAAAATATTTGTTTTAATCAGTTTCTTTGAAGAAAGAATTAAATTATCAACCTTAATGAATAATAAATACAGTAAAAGAGTCAGAAAGGATTTTAAAGTTTTTTGTGCAGGGGAGAGCATTCAGGTGTCAAATTAAGCAGAGTGTCTTGTGAAATGGTAAAACAACTTTTAATGGAATCAATTTATGAAATAAATATTATAATCATAGAACATCAAGCAATCTTAGGATTTCAAATTTGCTGATTATTTTTCTTAAACGTTTGAACTTTTCTTATTCCCATGTTGGTTGATATATATGTTATAATGTTATCGACACAATGTTTCAACCAAGTACCCTTTGGTCATCAGCAGGTGATTTGTTGATATGGGATATTTGTTGGTTATTGTGATATTTTTTATTTCAAACTATTGTTCTCCTCTTTGTTGATGTTATTATAAGCATAATGTTTCAACCAATTAACCTCTGGTCATTTGATTTTATCAAAATTATGATCATGAAAATATTTGTTCTTTTATTATTAAAAAAAATTTGCTAATTTTTTGGGTAGTTTTATCTTAGATTTGTTCTGTTATTAAATCAGGTTCGTCTTTGGAGGAAATTTTAACCAGTTTTATACTTGCAATCTTTGCAGTGTATACAAGTTGGTCAAATTTTGATTTTTAAGGTCAACCAATTATTCTTCAAGATAGCATGTGTATAGGTTGATTACCATTTTTTTGTGGAGAAAATAGCATCAAAGTTGATTCATAAATCATTTTATTTTATGGCATAAAAATATTGGTAGAAATTCTCAAGTCTATTTTACACTTACTTGTATTATGATATAATATTTTAAAAACAGTCAATTTATGAAAACACCAGAAGAGAAATAGAAAAGACGAAGGGAGCCTAAAGAAAAGCCATCCCCTGAACCCCCACCTACCCCCTACCATGTGGTGGCTGCGGACGTCTCTTCTGATTCAACATGGGACTCATTTCACACAGAAGGAAATGTCTATGAGTACCCCAATACTTGCCAATGAGTTCTGCCAATGACAACGATATAGTCAGCAAGTACCGTACGTGATATGCATTTGGGCGATCATGTCTTTTTTGATTCATGACTGACTAGGTAGAAGATTTTCCCGTAGTAGTCTATCTTTCTGCAGTAGACTGGTTGTCAACCAAATCTATAGGACCTAGTCTGTACTGCTATTTAACCCATAGCTGAGGGAAGAAGAGATGGACTCCTTTCTCAATGGTATTTGCATGTAAGTGAATGTAACAAACATGACTGATATTCAAACTTGATCTTCCATTTTCCAATTCCAATCCATTATTCTTTACAACATATCACAAGTCCTCTAGGTTTGGTATAAGGCATTTAAGACATTGTCTCTGGCAGCACTCAACACATAATGCACCCGCATAAAAATCAATATCAAGGATTAACATTGATTATAAATATAATTATTGCCTATAAATCTTTATCTTAAATAATAATCCTTAAATCTATAGCTATTGTCATGAGTGTGTGCTTAGAACTCCTAGATTAATGGCTGAAGGAATATATAAAATGTTGGTCAGTTTCATCAGCTGTTTGGCAGGGTTTTTAAAATATTTTTAATGTTTAATCTTGGGATAATCTCAGGATGTTATTTCTTTTGTGGTTTTTCATAATTAAATTCACAAAATGACAAAATATCTTCACTATAAGTATATTGTATACTTGAAATAAAAACAAAGAATAGTTTTAAGCTGAAATAATTTTGAAAAAAATCTTTTAAGAAATTAATTACAACTTTAGATATTTCAGTCTCAATTAATTTTTTTTTTAATATTTTGAGTAAATATTTTGTGAGTTACATTATCAAAATGTCATAAATTATTCAGACTAATGTCCTCATCATTGTTGTTTTTAATATATTTTCCTGGATGGATTCTTCACCCTTCTTCATTGAAATTCTAAGATGGATTATTCTGATTAGTATTATCATCTTCATTATTCTTCTAACAAGATTTCAACCAATGCATACTTCACTCTTCCACGGTGGTAACATTCTGATGAAAATAGCATCGAAGAGGATATTAGCCTGAATAATTCGTGAAATAATTTAAAATTTACATTTTTAGCTCATTCGGTTAACGCCATTTCAACAGGAGTTACCTCCCTTGAACCATATCATATTCAAAGATGGTCGCCGCTAAAATATATACAGAGCGTCACAATTATGAGGGAGATGTGATTAAATATACTTAAAGGCCAAAAAAAAAAAAAAAATAAATAAATAATAATAATCATTATTATTATTGTTTAGGCAATAAGCATTATAACTTAGCACAAATAGCTATATGGTGGAAAAAAGAATTTTCAACAATAGGCATTCTTTATGTATGTTTATTTTTTTTTTTTAACTTTTATCAAAAAAGACATTCTTGTACATGTAGTTATGGATAATATACATTAATTACTAATATTTTTAATTAATAACTAGTGCTCAGTTTTTGAATGTTGATGTTTTAAAATTTTGGAATAATGTAATAAAAAAAAATTTAGTCTCTCTGATGTCGCGATCTGTTAATTCTTCATTAAAAAATTGCAAAACAAATGTGGAAATTCAAATATTGTCAGAGAAAATCCGTTTACAATCTTTCGAAAATAGAAATTTTAAAAGTGCGAACATGAGTAAAAGAAGCATTTTTTTTATTGTTTTTATTCGTTTATTGATTCTATCTCATCATTTCATTCTTAGAATTCTCAGATGCCAAAGGTTAGTGTGAATGAAAGAGAATGAGAAGACGTTAGTGAGAAGAAAGGACAATAAAAGACAAGCTTCAGTAAAACGGAAAATTGTTAAAATTGCATTTAAAGTTTTTAAGATTGCATCTAAGCATTAAACTGGAAAAGAATTCCACACACAAGAAGTTCTAGGAAAGAAACCATTAGAATCGAACATAGGATGACATACATTCTGAAATGGACAAAATCCAACAATTATTTTTAAGACATTTTTTATGTTTATACATTCGTTTTATAGATACAAATATTTAAGTAAATGCTCTGTTTATAATAAACAGTATTAAACAACATTTACCGGCCTGAATCTCCGAGAAATTTTCATAGAAAATATTCGTCCTCCGACAGGAATCGAAACTTTATCCTATACGGAACCGTCATATAGCCTGACGTACCTTTAACCGTCTTTAAACTACAATCTTCCATGATTCTCTCACGTACATTCAATCTTGTAGTACCCCTAAATTCTTATACCAAAGAAGAAATCTCAATAGAACAATTGCTATGAAAATATTTATAGAAAAGGCAGAGGGAAGCCACATCATGGCAGTGGAAAAATGACTGAAGTCGAGATGCCAGATCAGGATTGATAACATAACAGATTCTTCTTTGGATTTTCTTGAGAATCTCGAGACGTACTTTCCTAGCAGCAGACCTATTAATTGATTCAACATAACCAATCCACTTCA